CTGCACCCACTGTTAGGAGTCCCACAAGAAGACAAGGCTACAGAGCTATAACGTATATGCAGAGGACCTAGGTCACATCCATGCAGGCGCCCTGATTGCCAATTCAGTCTCTGTGAACCCCTATGAGCCCTGCTTAGTTGATTATGTGGGTTTTCTATTGGTGTCCTTGACCCTCTACTCCATGCAATTCTTCCTCCCCCTCTTCCACAGAATTCCCTGAGTTCTACCTAATGTATGGCTGTGGGTCTCTGCATCTTCTCCCACAAGTTGCTGGATGAAGCCTCTCTGAAGACTAGGCTCTTGTTTATATCAGAGAAGCATTAGGAATCATTTCATTGGAACTTCTTGTCAGTTGTTGGCAATATTATTTTAAGGTGTGTTACTTTTCTTGATGTTGCATTTGTTTAACTCTGTGAAGTTGTGATACTTTTCCTATCTAGAACTACTGATGGTTTGATAAAGATGTGAATGGCCAATAGCAAGGCAGAAGAAAGGATAGGTGGGGCTGTCAGAAAGAGAGAATATGTAAAAGGAATGGCCTGGGTGAAAGGTTTGGAGAAGTAGCCAGAGAAGGAGGGGGACACTAGGGGAGCCATCCACCCAGCTACACAGCAATCTACAGAGTAAGAATAAGATTTACAGAAGTAAAAGAAGGGGGAAACCCAGAGGCAAAATATGTAAAAAGTATAAGTTAAGTAAAAAATTGACAAGAAACAAGCCAAGCTAAGGCCAGATGATTATAAAAAAATGAATAAGCCTCCATGTGTGATTCATCTGGGATCTGGGCAGTGGGCCCCAAAAAGAGTCCAAAGAGCTCAACATCGCGATACTACAGTCAGTCACGTTTGGTTCTATCCCAGATCGTTGTTACCCAGCCACTGGTTCCTGGCCCTCCAGGCAATGCCAGGCATGAACCCCTCTAATGGTGTATGCCTCAAGCTAGACCAGTCATTGGTTGGTCATTCCCACAAGTTCTGTGCCACCTTTACCCCAGCACATCTTTCAGGCAGGACAAATTGTAGTCAACGGTTTCATGGCTGGGTTGCTGTCCCAGTCCCTCCACTGGAAACCTAGCCTGGTTACCGAATATGGCTAGTTTAGGCTGAGTATTCCCCATTACTAGGAGTCTTCACTAGGGTCACCCTTATAGATTCCTGAGAATTTCCACTGCAGTAGATTTCTACCTTGATGTAGGATTCCCTTCTGTGTGATAAGAATATGTTTTAATATATTATTGGTTAATAAAGAAGCTACTTCAACTTATAGCAGGGTAGAATATAGCCAAGCTGGAAGAGATAGAGAGGGAGAGTATGCAGAGTCAGAGAGATGCCATGAAGCTGCTGAAGGAACCATGCTGGAACCTTACCCAGTAAGCCACAGCCTCGTGGCAATATACAGAATAATAGAAATGGGTTAATTCAAGATATAAGAGCTAGCTAGAAAGACTCTTAAGCTATTGGCCAAACAGTATTGTTCATAGAGGTTTCTGTCACACCTGGCTCCAAAGAAATACACAGAGGTCTATTAGATCAGGCTTCTTATTAACTCCTAATATCTTACATTTTAACCCATAACTCTTGTCCTTGTTAGCCACATGACTTGGTACCTTTTACTAGTAAAGAAATGCCTATTCAGCAGAACAAATGAACTTGACTGCTTAAGAGGAGCTTGGCAGAAAGGAGGAAAGAAACAAAAACTTTCCTTCTCTCATATCCTTTTATATGGACTGCCACCACAATATTTTGGGTGGGTCTCCAGACCTCAAATGATTCAGATTTAGAGTGGTTCTTAGCACCTCAAATGATTTAATCAAGAAAAATCCTTCACAGATGTGCCCAGCTCTTGACTTTTAGTTGACTATCAAGATATAACCAATGCAAACATATTTTAATAAACCTAACATTTTATGAATTTTGTAATATTAGTACATAGTGCTAGTCTTTCATTCTAACTTCTTATACTTTTACATTATTAGCTGACGCTTGTTTCCTGGTAATTTCTTGAAAAAAGTTTTTGGAAACAACTTCCTAGACTTTCATCATATAGTTAGAAACTCTTAGCATTGTTTAAAATAATAGTAAAAAACAAAATTTAAGTAAGCTAAATAAATTTTTAAATAAAATCTGAAAGTCATACTTGTTTTTGCAAAGAATTTTTTTTACTTTGCACTCCATCTTCTGTATTTACATAAAAATAGTCAATCAGATCTCAGAACAAAGCATGATAGGTCAACAAACCTGGTTTTAATAGACCTGGATGAACTTTATGTTTTACTAAAGAAAGCTGTGGATCTCTGGGATATGTTTTTTCAAAACACTGTGTACAACATTTTGTGCCATTATTTATATGACCATATATTTTGAATATCTAGTGAGCATTTTTTCAGTAATTATAAGCCAAAAAAAATAAAGTACAGCTGAGAACTTCTATCAAACCTAGAGAGGTCCATTTGGATGCTGTTGAGGCTATCAAAAATAATATGAGCTGAATAAAATCAAGATTGTAAAGTTTCACACAAATCAATCTTATCAAATACAATTTCAGTCTTTAGCTAATGGAATTAAATTGCTAAATTTATAATTTTCTGATTTTAAAAATAGAACTTCAACAATAATCCCTTAAGAGAAAAATAGAGTATCAGAGACTGGAAGACTAAAAATGAACAACAAGCAAAAAAACCCTAAAAGATAGTTTAACTTAACCAGGAGGAAATGCGTAATAAAACTGGTTTCTCAACCAGTTTGGAATTTTGCTGGTGATGGAGCTGGATTACTGAGAGACTGCTGTGGGACTGGCAACATTAGGATAATGCGTGATGTGAGCAATGTCTGTCTTTCCTGTCACTGTTCATTATCTGAGTTAGTTCTCAGTGTTGGCACTATTAGCATCTAAGGACAAGTAATTCAGCGGGACAAGGCACTATGTCATATTCATGTGGCCACACATTCCAAACTTCTAATGAATTTTTTTATGACTAAAAACAGGAGAATTGTAATGTTTATTTGGAAAATAAACCTAAGAATTTTTGTCAGACCTATTAAAAATTGTCGCCACTCATTTACTGGTGGAAATGACAAAATGTTCCCACTAATATTTAGTCAAATTATTTCTTTGAAGAGTCAGTCTTGGTCACAACTCAGTAGTTTGCCAATAGTTATCGCTTTCCTGTCAGTATTAACTTTTACTTCAGATAATTTTCCTAAGTAAACAGTTTTCATGGAACTACTGCTTCTTTGCCTTTTCGTTACTAGCTCAATGCAGCAAATATTCTTATACTGATATTTAAAAGCCACAAAAAGTGAGTGGTCTCTTTTCAAATAATATTTTTAATAATGACACAAGCATAAGTTATAAAACAAAGCAACTTTCTAACCCTGTATTACCTGCTTCCGATCTTAAAGAAAGACAATAAAATAATATAAAATCTGGAAACGTAATCCATTATTTATTATGCATGTATATATCTTTTGTGTTTTCATGCATTTAAAATGTTTCATAATTGATATAAGCCTACTGCTTTATTCATTCCAGGTGATGAAGAGTCAACTCAATATTCGGGAATCAGAACTCCAGTCTGTGTCATTGTGTTCCTAGAAAAGAAGTCACGATGAGCACAGAAAATGTAAAGTCAATATGAGGGGAAAAAGTTCAAAGCAGTTAACATTATATACCACCACTCCATCTTGTGTACTTGGAATACAGTGGGTTAGGCATGAAATAGCTCCTACATAAGAAATGCATCTCTATAAGTAAGTAATAATAAATAAATATCTCTGGGGTTATTTTTAATCATTCATGAATTCATACCAACCTTTTATATTCTGAGGTATTATCGGTAATTGAGTTCTAAGCATCATAAAATAAGAAATTAAACCCTACTAATCATTTTACTAGTCTGTGAAGTACATCATATATAAGTAGGTATGATCTATATGAACTACAAAACATGAGTTAGTGGTAAATAACTGAACTATAGTGCAAAATGTAAGCATTAATTGTACTGCTATTTTTTTAAATTAATATGATGTAGGAAATCAACAAGCAAGGGAAACAACGTGACAAAGGAGTTCTAAGGCTTGTGGCTAATACATGCAGCTGATGTCTGACGTCTACCTATTCCAGTCAGCCTTTTCCTGCAGGCCTGGCTTTATCTGACAGTTACTATGTAGACTATAAAACACTGTGAATTTATTGGAGAATACATTTGAAATAAGAAAAATCTTATAGCAAGCAAACTATATTGTGTTTTGAATGTATAAATATTGTTTCCATAATGGGTAAAAACTTGAGATTAGTCAGTAATGCTGCTCAATGTGGGCCACTTAAACAGAAGTTGAGGTGGCCCTAGGACAGAATCCTCAGTTCCTATCACATCTGGGAGAGTTAGAAGTAAAAGGCAAACCAAACAATGTTTTCCAGTCTCAGAAATATATTTTGCCAAAAACTCCTACTGGGCCAAGAATGAAATACAATACTTAATTTGGTGACATGAAATTATGTTCCCTTGCTGACCATTTCTTCAAGTATATAATGAACGTACCTATGAAGTCTTATTTATTTTATTATTTCACAACATGGCATTCTCCTTACAGACCTGCTCCAGAGTAGTTACTCAGAGAACAATTAGTGAAAATATATGTTTTAGGAGACCATTATTTAATCTGAATTCTAATAATGGTCAGGATGTATGTGCAAACTTGTTTCCATTTAAAGACATTTGTGCTTTGCCTTTAAAGGAAATGTAGGAAAATGATGACTTTAAAAATTCAGATAGGAGGTTCAGTGGTTGAGGGCACCTGCTGCTCTCACAGAGGACCAAGACTTTGTTCTCAGAACCTACATACTGGCTTACAGTCCTCTATAACTCTAGTTCCAAGGGACTTCAGGCCTTCTGACTTCTGTAGACACTAGGCATGCATATGGGGCACATATGTAGATGCAAACAAAACATTTATACATATGAAATAAAAACAAAGAAATCTTAGAGTTCAAAAAAGGCAACGTTACCACCGCTTCCTACTTTCACAGAACGTAAAATATATCATTTATTTTTCACTTTTCTTTACAAAAAATATATCTATTCACCAACTTCTTCATGGCTGCCTTTATTTCTTTGTTTCGTAATGTGTAGATGATGGGGTTGAGTAAAGGGAATATGACAGTATGAAACACAGATACCACTTTATCTAAAGAAAATGAGTCAAATGGACGAGCATAAATGTAGATGGACGGTCCAAACATTAGCACTACTATGGTGATGTGGGAATAGCAGGTGGATACGGCCCTGCTGGTGCTCTCACCTGAGCTTGAGTGTTTCTTGAGCATGGCCAGAAGGAATGCGTAAGACATTAACAGAGCAATGAAGCACACCACCGAAATTAGGCCACTGCTAAAAATCATCGCTAACTCTTCCCAGAAAGTGTTGGCACAGGCAATCCGGACAACCTGTGTGATGTCACAAAAATAGTTGTCTAATTCATTGGGCCCACAAAATGGGAGTCGAACAATGAGAGCCACTTGTATTATAGAATGAACGAAGCCCCCTGTCCAGGAGAGAGCCACTAAGATACAACAGAGACGTCGGTTCATGATGGTCGCATAATGGAGAGGGCGGCAGATAGCAGCATAGCGGTCAAAGGCCATCACTGTGAGCAGGAACATCTCAGAGGCCCCAACAAAGTGTAAAAAGAAGAGCTGAGCAATGCACCCACCAAAGGAAATGATCTTCCTTTCCACAAAGAAGTCTACAAGCATCTTAGGTGCTGTGATGGAGGAGTACCAAATATCAAGAAAGGCTAGATTAGCCAGCAGGAAATACATGGGAGAAGTCAGGTGGGGATCAAGCCTGACGGTACAGATAATGAGGATATTCACCGGAAGTATAAACAGATAGAAGGATAAAAACATAACAAACAAGACTAGCTGCACTTCTCGAGTCTGAGACAGACCCGTGAGAACAAATTCTGTCACGGTGGTGTCATTTACGGACTCCATTTCTTCAAATAATTTTTCATTGTAGCTATAGAAAATAAAAGAAAATATAATTATTTCAAATAATATGTAATTAAAATTGTACCCTTATTTTCAAAATTATGACATATTCTTATCATGAAGAGATTGCATTGGGTGGCTGGAAGATGGCTTTGTGCTCTTGCAGAAAACTGCAGCTCAGGTCTCACCACCCACAAGACAGCTAATAATAATCTGTAAGTTTAGTCTCTGGGTATTCAATATCTTTTCTGGTCTTCATGGGCACCAGGTATGCAGACATACATGCAAGAAAAACACCCACATGTGAAAATAGAATGAAAAATAAACTTAGAGAGTCTATAATATCCTTGCTTTCCCTATTTTATATTAAAAAACAAGGCATAGAAAGTAAATTATGATCTCATAAACCAGGCAAACTAAAATCACATGAAAAATGTCATACACTTAAAAACCTACTTCAGGACAGTATCACATACCTGAATGCCAAATATCAGGCATAATACTGCAAAATTCTATTTTCTTTTTACAAAACTCATTGTCAATCTCTTCTTCAACTGTCTACCCTTCCATTAAATACTCAGTATAGTAAAAAATGTGTGTACTGATTTTTGAAGTTCGACTGATAATTGAAAATCTAGTCTATTATCTCTGGATCATTTTTGCTGGGAAATCTTGCTAATTTGGAAAACTAAGCTTATATTCTAATATTGAGTATACAGATCCTACAGTAATTTGTGGCTTTTAATTTGTTTTATTATTTTTAATTAAAAGTGTGTGTGTGTGTGTGTGTGTGTGTGTGTGTGTGTGTGTGTGTTTGCATGCACACATACTGGTGTCTGAATCTGAGATTCTTCAGCTCCCCCTGAAGCCAGAATCATAATCATGGGGGCCATGAACAACCAACATGGGTTCTGAGAACAATTGCACTCAGGTCCTCTTGCAAAGCACCAAGCAACACTGAGCTTTCTCCTTGGCCCCCAGTACTTTATTTTAATTTATATTTTTAAAAATCCCATGATTTCATTACAATGAATGAATAACCAAATTTTACTGCGTAAGGCTTGGGAAGAGGCCAACAGAAATAAGAGATAGTGGTGTAGGCTGTGCATGTGAAAATATCCCTCCTCTCCAAAGGAAAACAGCAACCAAAACAAACAAAAATACTGACAACTACTCCTGGGCATGGAGCATGCCTGACATGGAGTTAGTACACCAACTGACTCTGGGTGGCTAGGGAGGTGAGGGGGATCTGGAGGGAGCTGGAGGAGGAGAACCAGGTATGCTTGCCATCATGGCACACTGAATCACACTGGTTAGTTCTGCCATTTCCAAGAGAAAGTGAGGATAAAATCATACTAAAATTGTTGCTAAAGATTCCATATAAAGTGCAAAAATACTAAGAAAGAAAACCTATCAAATAAAAGAAAAACAGTCAAGCCAAGATGTGGTAGTACATGCTTATGATCCAATGTGAGTGAGGCAGAAATACCACAAGCCTGAAGGAAGACTTCATTGCATAGGAAGTTAGAGGTAAAGCCATGCTGTAGAGCAACAGGCAATAAACAGCAACAACAAAAGAGACGGGCACGGTAAATGAGATAGTTACTTTCCAAACATGCTCCTCTTTTAAGTTATGTTCAGTCTTTGAAGGATTTCTCGTCATCAAAGCCAATTGTGACTGGCACTGCTTGTGTTTTCTGACGTTCTAAGTAGGATTGCATTTCCTCAATTTTGGAACACAAGTTAGCATTTTATCAAACCAGTGTCTGTGACTTGTGCTTAAAGGCACTTTGTATACTGTTAAAAAAAAACCCTAACATTTATTCCTTGGAGCCTCCTGAGAACTTTATGCATTTTTATAATAAGCAGTTTGTGACTTTCAACACTGCAGCACCACTGTTTTAAAAAGAGACATAACAGGTGGGTACAGGAAGAAAGGCCAGAGCTTTCCAGAAAAACCAAAAATATTCAGAAAATTCAGTAGTGTGAGACTGCATAGACAAGTACCTATCTCCATCACAAGAAGCCCAGTGTCAGTCCCAGTGAGTCACATGTCATAGTGCAACAGAGAAATTTGAAGTTTGGCTTAGAACAATTTAAATCAAGAGAAAAATATTATTCCAGTTTTCAACACTAAGCCATCTTAAAACATGCTAACATGCAATGGCATGTTTCCAGAGATTCCATAAAGTAATGGTTTCTCTTTACTTACCAGAAAGGGCAGTCCACGCCCTTACTAGAAAGGACAAAGCAAGTATATAATGGTAGTATCACAGCATACTCATTTTAGTCACCGCTGAGTGAACCTAGAGTTTCTGACCATCATGAAGACTCCAGCACATCCAAGACCCCACACAACCTGCAGCACATCCAAGACCACACAAAGCCTGCAGCACATCCAAGACCACACACAGCCTGCAGCACATCCAAGACCACACACAGCCTGCAGCACATCCAAGACCATACACAGCCTGCAGCACATCCAAGACCATACACAGCCTGCAGCACATCCAAGAACCCACACAACCTGCAGCACATCCAAGACCACACACAGCCTGCAGCACATCCAAGACCACAAAGAGACCCCAGCACATCCCAAGATGCACTGTGGATATTCTGCTCTTATGAAAGCAGACAAAAATGATTAATTTAGTAGTTTTTAAATCAGATGCCTTCTCTCTCATTATGAAAAGGAAAGGAATATCTTAAAGAAGTAAACACTGTTACAAGCTCCTATGCTTTTTAATATTGTAATAGGAATTACAATGCACTTCTGACTGTTTGTGTATCATATAATTTCTCCTGTGACGTGCTCTGTACTCTCCATCAAAGAAGAAACAGAAATTGTAAATTAGCAAACTTGTAGCTGAGGAGTTGACTCTGTAGATAAAGCACATGCCACACACTTGTAAAATCAGGAGTTCAGATTCACAGAACTCACATCGAAAACAAGCAGGATTGGTAACCACCGGCAATTCCATCACTTGGAAGGCAGAGACAGGAAGACTCAGCAAGAGACCACAAAAAAAAAAATAAAGTAGTTGACCAGTAGTATGTACACTGCAGAAAAGCGTTTGTCACCAAGACTGACAAGCTGAGTTTAATCTCCAGAATATAGTTGGGAGAAGGAGAGATAACTCCTTGAAGTTGTCCTCTGACCTCCAAAGGAGGCAAGTCATAGCACGTATGCATGTGCACACAGACATAGACACACACAGGTCGACAATGAGACAGAGTCAGAGAGAGGGACAGATTGGAGACAAAGAGATGCACACACACAATAAGCAAATGTCAGCTAATATTTAAAAAGGGAAGAGCGGTAAGGTAGGATGCTCATTGCCACTTCCAGCCTCCACAAGCATGTGCCTGCATCTGCACACACATGTGCACCCTGGCATAAGCAGGCATATATACAGATGCACACCGTGCACATGATACATATGCAAAAAACTGACACAAGCAAAACACTATAACAGAGAATAAATTATGTAGTTTACAATAATAAAATGAAGTTTTGATTTTATAATTTTATAAACTCTAGGAGATCGCTTAGTAAGTTTACATTTTAGGATTGTCACTCTAAGTGTTGTATGAGAAAATCTAGAGTAGGACAACACTTAAGAAAAAAGTAAGCTGTTGAATGGAAGACAACAATAGCGATTTAGAAAAGTGATTATTTTATTATAAAAGTGTTTAGGAGACACGACTAGCAGGATTTAAATAGATTCAGCATTACCATTGCTACACTACCAAAGCTGATTAGACATTGATATCATAACAACAATTTTACAAGATGTCTTATGTTCTGTGTGCAAAACAAGGCTCTCTTGGCAGCTTACCAAGAAATCTTGATGCAATTGGCATGTATCTTGTCATAAAATATGTTCATGCTCTGCCATGATCTAAGAAAGACTGGCATTGTGCCAGTAAAAATCCATAACCAGGAATAATCATGTATTTTTTATAGGAGATAAGTCACCCATAAATACTGAGCCAGGGCATTTCTTCCTTGGACTGTCATATAGGAGGGAATTTACTCCACTGTTTACTACAAAACACTAGAAAGATTGAAGAATGAGAATTTTTTTCTTCATATTGCTCCCCGAATTTCTGGATAAAGCCCATTCCTCTTGGAAACATTAGGCAAACATCTACTCCTTATTTAACTTTAGGGAATATAGTATCTAGAGGATGCTGATAAAGGCAGCTAGGGATACAAAGTCCTTCCCAGGCGTAAAGGAACTGTGAGACCTCCTCAAGGGAACCAGTATTGGGGGAAAATAAGGAGTCTGTGCAGAAATTTGTCTGCTAACAATGTAAAACCCATTCATGTTGTTTGCATGGAATATGAGGAGTCTATGATGGCCAAAACTGAGACTAGGAAAATGAAAAGAAAGAAAGAAAGAAAGAAAGAAAGAAAGAAAGAAAGAAAGAAGGAAGAAAGAAAGGAGGGATGGAGGGAGGAAGAGAGGGAGGGAAGAAATGAAATGCGGTATTAATGATGCAAAATAAATCTGCAAAATATACAAATCCTGTTTTTTCTGAAAATAACAATGCATTCTTATAGGTAGGTTAAAGTTACAAAAAAGATAAAATATGGTTAGCTTCTTTCCAGTGTTTTTTTTTTCTAAAAAAATCTTCTCCAGAGGACAGAAGGCATATCATCCTTTCAAACCTGTTGATCATAGGGAAAACTATTAAAGTGTGTAGTATAATGAAATAAAGATGTCAAAACCCAAAGGAAAGAGGAGCAAAATCAAAAGGTAGTAATAACAATGGTAGGTACACCAGGAAGGTACTACCATTTCTTAAATATATAGATGCAGATACGACGATACACAAAATTGCTCTCAGAGATGGATACAGGCTAGAGTACATAACAGCGGTACATTGAAAGCAGTAGGATCAAGAATTAGGGGAAAGAATTACTTAGATTTATTTTGTCTTTATAGTTCTAATAAATGTCTAATGTCACCTACAGATACACGTACATCACATGTATTATTAATGTTTAAAAAGCTTTTCAAGTAAATACATT